TTCGATAAATCTTCCACAAGTTCAGTGGGACCATACAAGTACGGGTTGTTGTTTTTTTTTTTTTTCTTTTTTTTAAGCTGCATTTTAAGGAACAAGCATCTCGCTGTTCTTAGCAGTCCTGATCCCTCTGCCCAAAAACTATGCAACTATTATCCTTTATCTATTCTTCAATATATCTATCTTGTTTATTTCCGTCTTACTGTAACTATTTTCAAACAGAATCACTTCCTGTGGTTATTTTTAAAATTGAATTAATACATAGAAAAAAGCTCACAAACGCAGCAAATTTGAATGTGCGCAAACTTTCTGTGCAGATCAGCTAAGATACGCACCCGTTTGATGAACTCAAACTTGTTTTTCTAAAATTACAGCAATGTAACACTAATGAATACCTAATCCAAAAAATAAAGAGATCATGAAAAGCAAACCTCAAATATAGATGTTCCTGTGAATCGGCTTAAAGCTGCAAACTCAAGGATCAAGGTACCTGCACAAGCTGTACAGGTATCAGTTTCTGTTCCTGTTCGTGCTTCTGGATGTCTTACACCAAATTTTAAGTTAACCTAGAGAAAAACAGAGATTATTATCTTTAATACAAGATAACACAAGATTTCTGCTGTCACTATTTACACACAACAATGTATAATAGAATTTTCAGAGCTGGAAATGTAGGGATTTAGAGAGCCTAAAACCTTATTTTAAAATACTAGGTAACATGTTATTACAAATGAGGAATTTATCAGCTTTTGATATTCTGTACACTTAACAAATATACAGGTTTTTAGAAATTCTAGAAACCGAGGTAAAAACAGGACAAAAACTTTGCTTACAGAAGTAATTCTGACTTGCAGAAACCAGAGAACTTACTCTTGGATAAGGGAGACCACTAGTGGTGTTAAAAGCAGGTAAAAGCTTGTAGCCTAGCTCCTTCGCCATGTGCAGAAGTTCACCATTGTACCACTGCATGTATTCACCTTTTTCTTTCAGCATAATCGCCACTGAATGTCCACCTAGGAGACCTCTAAACACAAGAAAAATTATTCGCGTCTCAATAGGGATATTTATCTCAACAGCAATGCAGCAATTTCTGTGATTTAGACGGCTAGGTAAGCAGCTGTGCTATGTTCACACAGCCTTCATTTTCAGAAATGCTGAGCAGGTGCAACTCCAACTACAATCAAGGTGAGCTGTCACTTTTTGGAAGCAATTCTTATTGTTCAGGACTCAGCCCTAAACTATAATTGAATCACTGATTCATCCATATAGTTAGTCAAGAATAACAACCAACACCTCTAAAACTGCATGTGACAGCTTAGAGCTAACCTGCTCGGATCCTGCTTTGAGCAGCAAGTTGGATTAGAGACCTCCAGAGGTCCCTTCCAACCTGAAAGAATTTATTACCCTAAGGATTGAAATATTCTAGCTGTTAAATCAAGTATTGAACAGTGCAATCTGCAAGATTGTTTCTATTAAGAAAAAATACTGCTACCACAGCATGCACCAGTTTTTTTTAATCAAAAACAAGCTACGCCTGCAGCAGTTAGATGGGGGCCAACTTGATTCAGTACCACCGCATCGATTCCTGCCTAGCATTTTAAAACCTTTCTTAGGGCAGGTGTTAAGCTATCCTGACAAGGGCACAACTGCTTTAAATGAGGTGAAACAGCACAGAAAGCTATGCCTTAAGGACATTTAGCTAAAACCCAGAGTTTTAAGAGTTTTGAAAACATAAAAGTTACTCACCCAAGGACTCTTATGTTGGTTTCAAAGACAGATACAACTATGTCGTTATCTAAATTAACATCCTTTATTACTTTTTTTACAGCCTCTTCAAACTCTTTGGTTTTATTTAACACCTGGAATACAAATGTGACCAGGTGTTTAGGTTCCAACAAAGCCAATACAGTCATACTCAGGTGTGGAAGTAAAGTGCAGTGAATTCAAAAAGAAAGCATTTAACACGCCTTAGGTTGATATTCTGGTCCTGCAGGGACATACTCTGATACACTGCAAACAGACATTAGCAGTACTGTTTTCTCATGACATATGTGAAAAAGAATAAAATCTGTATGCAAAAATAAAGTCACCAAGAATGTACCTAAACTACTACCCAGGGATTTATTTGTTTGCTCCTTCCTCTACTCCCATGCCAGATTTCCTTTCACACCGAGTTTCTTTTAGTTCAATCAATCTTCACGAATCTTTGTGACTTATCCAATTTGTTATCCTAAGTGCCTTTAAATCCCACAAGTGCCACTCCTGCTCTAAGACAAGAAAACAACAAATAAACCACAATAATCCATCTGAGTGTCTGATAGAGACTGGGAGTTCCAGACTCTACATTTTCAGTATTTGCGGCTGCAATTCAAAAGAGCCAAGGGTCATCTCACAGCACCTCATAAAAAAGGAACGGCTGTCAGAAAAAAAGACATCATAAGATTCACACACCAAATCAGTGCTGTAAGGATTTTTGGAACCATTTAGATTTTTTTAACCGGAGATGTGAATGGACAGAAATTCCAAATCTGTTTTATGATGACAAAGTATGTCATGGGGATTGAAATCTAACAAAAAGTAGTTTATTAGTGATTGGAGTCTTTTAATAAGAGATGGAACATAAGTTTGGCAATATTTCCTGGCAAACACGCCCAGGGTTGCATTTTTTTAACATACATTTAAGTGCACACAAATTCATTCATAAAACGTGTGCATACAATTTAAAACCATAAATAATTCAGTAGGCATCAAGAGATGTTCACTGATAAGTCAGCATCTTGCTTTAGACAATAATGGGACACAAAGTCACATATCTTTGTCCAAGAAAAGCAAGATAGGAAAGCATCAATGAAACGTGAAGGAACTGTTCTACTAGTCTTTTTGCAACAAACTTGAAACACCATCAACGCAGCACTTGGAAGGTCCTACAAGCAATAGCCACTTTGAACTGGTGGCTAGAGATCAAAGAAGTGAAGAAAGGTTAGTATTTTTTATATATAAATTAACAAAATAGAAATCTAAAAATAAGTCTGAATACCAGAAGATTTCTTTTTTGTTTTATCAAAGTTTATCAATAGATTAAACTTACCACAAGAGTGTCCAAGGTATCAATCAAGGTCAGTGAAAACCTACAAAACAAAATTCAAAACAGATTTACTACAGACCTGTATGTGTAGAAATTAAATAATTTTAATAGTAACCAATACTATTAGAAACTAAATTCTCACAGACCACTAGCTGCTCAAAAATTAGTTGTACAATATGCTTAATATCAAAACACCCTACTAAGTTTCTTCCCTTCGTTAGTGACCAGTTAGGAGCTGACTGAAATAAGCTATGATTATAAAGATACCTTTATTTACCGTAAAGCTTTCAAACCTCTTGTAAGCAAATTAATTTTTTATTTCTATTCTCCAATCAAACCGACTAAAAAAACCAGTAGAATGGTTCAAAGTCTTTTTACAACCTCTTTTTTTTCCTTCTTTAAAGAAAAAAAAAAATTAAGAATGCCGACTTAAGTGTAATAATAAAAAGATTTAGGAAGATCAACAGTCATCCTAAGCTAAATTTCTCCTACCAGGAACTCTTCCAATTATCAAAAAAAGCTGCAATTTGCTGCAATCAAACCCAATGTTAAAATTAGTGGTGAAAGACTGAAGAAAATGCTGTTATTTTGTTATGAAAGCTCTATGTGGGCTATAAGAGAACAGGAAAAGGTGCAATAAAGGGCAGTAAGGGGGGACTGAAAGCACGGAGCAGCTTCCAGTGAGCAGGCTAGTGCTCTTCAGCCTGCAAAAGCAAAAGCTGAAGTGTCATTATATGAAGATTTTAAAATTGCACATGGTATGAAAAAGTGAATGAGAATCTGCTATTCCCCACTTCTCACAGTGTCACCTGGTGCCGTCCAGCACTAGCACGTGGCAGGCTTAAAATAACGAACTACTTACTCCACCAAAAGAGAACACCAAGTCAGAGCCACGCTGTGTGAAACAGGGCTAGCACAGTAAGGCTTGTCCTGCTCACACATTCTTCTCCAGGCCTGTTCTAGTGCATTCCAAGCTGAGCAGAGCTTTGTTCTAACCCGATAAAATTGCTCATGTTCAGAAACACACACCACGCATAGAACAGAATTTACAGAATGTGATGGTATGAAAATGATGGTGTTCTGCGAGTGTTGCTCTACAAAAGAAAGAGATGAACTAGTGGCTATGCACAACGACACAACACACACACAACTTTTTCCGTACCAAAGCAGGGAAGATCACCCATCACACAGCTCTAGAGGAGGCTGGTGTGCAAAAATACTCCCCAGCCTTCCAGGGAAGCAGAACTGACCTAGCTGCCTCACCCTGTCGTTTGGTAACTGCAAAGGCTTGTCTAGAACATGACCGATGAGCCAGCTGGCAAGAAAAAAGATTATATAAGAAATCTGATGAATAATAATATGACTGATTATTAGGAGCAGAAAAAAATAATATAGTGATACTACTCAACACATCTAAGGGGCTGAAAGGTATTTTTACTCAAATCACAGTATGTTACTATGTAAAAAAAAGGTCACTGAAAGGAACGCATGACCAGGATTAAAAATACATTTTCTTGACACTTTCTCATCAGTCACGTCTCTCAATACCTCCAAAGCAGCAGGCTTATATAGGAAATCTCCAGACTTAAGGAAGTTTTGTACATGACAAAAAATAACCAAAGTGACACACTCAATATCAGAGGGAATGAGAAGTGGTATTTAAGACAAGGACTTCAGCTTTGATGAACACTATTCTCTTTAGGGCCATTAAACAGTGATACCAATAAAATAAAGCATAAGTTAATTGTTATCAAGTATTTGCTCTATAAACTGAACACAGCCTAGAAAGGAATCAATTACAAACACGAGCTTTGATGAACACTATTCTCTTTAGGGCCATTAAACAGTGATACCAATAAAATAAAGCATAAGTTAATTGTTATCAAGTATTTGCTCTATAAACTGAACACATACAGCCTAGAAAGGAATCAATCACAAACACGTTTAGAGTAATTCAACTTTGTCTTTGACTGTTCAATTTAACATGGAGAAAAACCGTCCTTAAATCTACATTTTGATAGCCAAAGGATCAGTACTTTGTATTATAAACTATTTTAAAAGAAAAAATATTAATAATTTCCCTGTCAAAAGTAATGTTTTGTACTTTGGCAAAGGCGTCAGGCTACCACACACATGATAATACTATGACTAATTCTGTTTTCAGAGAGCTTTCTACTAAAAAAAAGCATTTTAAATATCACTCATAAGGCCAGCATAATGGGTAACAGTTTACTGTTCTGTGCAGCTGATAATTAACCCTATAATCCCTACTTAGCAGTCAGATTTACTAATACTATAAATGACAGCTCACATTTACAAGGCTTTTCTATGGAAAATACTTGGAGAATTATTTAAAAAACCCTATCTTGGGATCTCACTCACTGGTCAATTCTCTTTTTCCAATTAAGGTATAATTTCACATCAGTTAACATAATGGGAGGAAATAATAAAAGCAAGTACTTCTGCTAACTTGCAAGAAGTTCACAATTAGAGCTTTCTTTCCAAGAGCTTGCCTCCAACCACCGTTACGAGACAAATTAGGGATTCGTCTGCACCCATAGAATTATTTTCAACAAAGTGAAGCTTGTTGACATGCCAACTAAAGAAACAAGTTTTACGGACTGCAAATGGTATTTAGATTCCTAGATGTTCACGTGAGACAGTAAGCATTTCAAACACTAACTTTCCCAGGGCATCATCCACATCCCCTCGACTTGGCTCCTGACCCCGTATGCGTCCACGACAAGTTAAAGGCATGAGTTCATCAGCTGGATACGCATGCTCCTGCGGGGAAACAAAACAAGGGAATAAGTTAGAACTGTTACAGCCATTTCAGCAAATCTTCAGAGGCCATTAAAAAGAAGACCAATTATGCTGTACTTCAGAAAAACTGCATGACAGTCACAGAATTTTTGAGGGGAGAAGGCATGCCCAGAAGTCATCTTGTCCAAGCCCTCTACTCAAGCAAGGCCACCCAGACCCAGCTGCCCAGGACCATGTCCAGACACCTTCTGAGTATCTCCAAGGAAGGAGACTCCACAATTTCTCTGGGCAACCTGTGCCAGTGCTTGGCCACCTTCACAGGAAAAAAGTTGTTCCTGAAATTAGTGGAAATTAGACTTTAAAGTCACTTTGGAAATATTTCCAAACGAACATAAGTGACTCAGGGTCACAATCAGTGACAGATAAGAAAACTCACTTAGAAGGTAAAATAATAAATCGCTAAATCACTACACAAAGCATAACAAAAGATGCCATTCACAAAAAAACCTTACCAAGACTGAGCCTTTTACAAATAAAACATTTTTATTAAAGAGATGTTGTCAGATTTTTTTGGAAACGCAATGGTTACGTTCCATATTTCTAGAAAAAGCACTCTGCAAAGTAATATTATTTCTCATCAGTGAGGCAGAAATAACAGGAGTGGCACCGTTGCCTAAGTCAAGCACACTGAATAAAATGCCTGTTCCTGCTCCCTCTCCAGGCAATGCAAGCGTTGGAGGTTTAAACTACCACCAAAACAGGATCTCAAATGAAACAGACACAAATCTGAAATTCATCATTGTGCAATAGGAGAGGTTAACTGAAAAATATTCAGAGCAGACACTGCCATTAACAAAACTGAATCTTAAATAGATCTAACCTCTGCAAACATGCACGAAATTGCTTCTCCATTAGAAGCCAAATAAAAGTGATCTGGGATGGAGCTTCTCTCTTTTGATTTCATCAGGAAACTGGCTGCTGTACTGTGCACTTCTAGTGGAGAACTGACATGTGGCAGGATAAAAAAGTTCAGTTACTGCACTGAATCTGCAAGTAAACACATCCAAATTCTTTCCAAATATATGGTACAAAAAATAATCTATATTCAAACATGAAATAGAGAGGAAGAGAAGGAACTTTATTCTATAAATAAACAGCTCTTACAGCAACTTCTTTTGAAACTGATGGTTTGTTTCCCTGTCTACCACCCTCCAAAGTGTTTCGGTCTTTGCACAACTCTTTGTTCTCCTCAAGTTCAACTACAGAAGCCAGAATCTAGATCATTTTAATATGGCTCAGATGTCTCTGAATACCTGTGCAAAGGATTCAGAAAAATAGAGTTTAAAAGTACATGACAAAAGTAATGTCAAAACGAAGAACTCTGGCTCAAATTATGGGGAAAAAAGGTGATAAAAATTCCTGAGGAAACGGACTTTTTTAGTCTTACAAAATCATAAGGAACTAGAAGCATTCTGAAAAGTAAAAGTTCACTTATTCTCTGTCTAGAGCAGGAAAGGTTACCGGGTCAAGTTATTTCCCAACTTGTAACTTCTCCTCTTTCAAGTAACCTCAAAGGAGGGTAGCAAGACCCATGAAAAATAAAACAGGGCACAAACGTTGCACTAAACATACTTCAGGAAAATACTATACAAACGGAGCTCAACGGATAATACGTAATTTCTACACACTCTGACCGAACAGATGACCATACTGCCTAATGACAGGACTGTAAGTACAGGGCAGCACAGTACTTGAATAATGAAAAAAAAGGCACACTGCTACTAGTGCTGTAAACCAAGAAATACCCCTGCCTCAAGTGACTGACACTTTGGCATATTCTTTCTGACAGTCACGAAGAAAAAAAAATTCTGATTATTACAAATATTGTTGAAGGACTGGTAAAAACCAGCAGCTTTTTACTCAAAGCTCCTGTAAATAACTGGGGAAAAAAAAAAAAAAAAAAAAAAAAACAAGGGAGTTTCCCCTTCCCCTTAAAAAAAATGGGAAAAAAAAAAAAAAAAAAAAAAAAAAAAAGACAAGGGAGTTTCCCCCTTGCATGCAAACATGAATTTTCAGTCTTCTAAATATCTAAATACACAAGTCTAAAAGGCATATTAATAGAAACAGAAAATGAAAAATTTTCAGCTGGCTGTTTCAAAAGAGGCTGCAAAAACACTTAATTCTCTTGCTGTCATTTCAAGTCTGATACCCTAATCTTCAGCTTTAAACAAACAAGTCATATTTCTCTGTTTGTTTAGTGCTCCAGCATACGTGGCAAGCAAATATCCTTTTGTCTTCAAAGTTTCCAGGATAGCTGAAGTCATTCTTCTCTTTCATCCAGAATTTTCCTGCTTCAGACGTAGCAAGACACCTACCATCACACAACAAACAGTAGGAGCACAGTTTTTACTTCAGAGCCATGGGACACCCAAGCAAAGTGTTTTTTTATGGAACCAGGTCCCAAGTAACTAGTTGCAAATTATCACCAACAAGCCTGACCTTTGTTAATCCACTGAGGTGTCAAAAGCCAGAGCTAATGTTAAAAAGAAAAACTACACCCGCTTTGAAAATACTCTTACTTGGCTTTCTATCCCTTAACTCTACAGCTCTCATGCACTGCATAAACTTGTAACTCACAAGCTTTTAAGCTTGTAAAGCATTAAACCATAATACAGAAACTGGGACATGTGGCAAAATACTGTCAAGAGACTGGTTTGTCCTGCAGGAACTGGTGCAACTTAAAAGATTGAGGGGGTTCTGCAATGGCCACAAAGAGCTTGTTAACGTAAACTCAGCACGAATCCATCTTTTATATTTATCTTATTCACATTTACAGTTTCTCCTCAGAAGTGCGTTACTTATAGTATATCTGGGAGTAATTATTGCTTGAGGAAAGTCAGTCCACTTTAAGTAATTCTTCATTCTTAAATATATCTAAACTCATCTAACACTTTTCGAGGTTGATAAGAGTACAGAACGGTTCACATATCCAGAACATGACGACACCTGCACAGAAAATCACAATTCATATTGAAAGAAACCCTGGTGAGCATGGCTCACTGTCATATGACAGTCACATACTCCGAAGAGGGTATAATGCGTAGATATGACACCAGATCCCCTTTTTGTTCTACAAAGTGTTTGTTTGCAAAAGAGCTATCAAACTGCATCTAACATAACTTGCCACAGAAGAAATATTGTACAGAATTTTTACCTACAAAATAAGATCAATTTGTACTCTCCAGAATCCGATATCTACAGACAGCTCTTCTTCAGCTTCCTTTTCCTAGTATTTTTAGGAGTCTGGAATTTCAAACCAAATACTTTACCAAAGATGAAAAGTGTTTATAGCTTGATGTGAGATAAACTGCTTTGAGACAGATCAGACACAGATTAAGAGTTACCACTAGCAATTCCTAGCTACCATTCTGAAAGCCATCGTAACCCTCTTGACACCAATCTTCCTGAAAGTAACATTTGTTCGTTTCTTTTTAAAGGCTATACAGGTGTTCTTATTTATTCTAGCTTTGTTTTTGTCCCTGCCTCCCTGCTGTTTTTCTAGAATGTCATGTACTGTAGATTGTTTTCTCTCACAGGTCAGCAATAACAATTCCGAAAAAATTAAACAAACAGGTATGTTACTTACCATATAATTGCTATACGCATGATCAAACATTTCTAGCACTTGGTTTCTAAAAAAGAAAAAAAAGAAAAAGCATTAGTGGTCTGCCTCACAATGGCCTTTAACACACCACCTTAGAACAGCAAGATGTATTACACTTTAATATCAGAATACCGGTAACAGGTCCTTCACCGATGTACTCTACTCACGTACATGAAACATAGCATAATATTTTTTCCCAATTTGTCTACTTCCATTCACTGCAGAAAGGAAAGACTATTTCTCCACCTAACATGAAGTTAAGTATTTGAGGAGATCTCTCTCAACCTCCTATGTTTCCCCTTAAATAGCTGCAGATGTCACCACCACATTAAAGCTGGAGATGGGACACATTCCATGCCCAGTAAAAAAACCCCAGCAAACAGAATTATGTTCTGCTTGTAATCACCAATTCGAAATTCCTGTCCGTCATTCCAAAAAGGACCAGAAGTTATGAGGTACACCTCTCCCTTGCATTAGAAGTCTTGGCAAGCAGACCCTTGTAGATACAGTTATTTGACATGTTTGAAAAGCAGTCAAGGTGAGAAACACTACCAGATAAAAAAGCACTGGTTTTTTTTGAGAGCCAGCAGTACCTCCCACCTTTCCTTGCTGTTTTACTCAGGAGCCCTGCAAGGCAAAAGAGCACGCTAATTTCTAAGCTACCATCAACATAATTCACAATCTCTGCTGATAAAACTGAACATAAAAGAGAAAAGAACACCACAATTATATCCCAAATATCTGATTTAGTTCAATGACTTGGAAATTTAAGTAGTTTAAAGTCATCAAATGCACTAAGTCACCCAGAGTATGATGCTTTTTTCAGGTACTTCACAGACTACATCCACTCTGCAGGTCTGGAATCTGTCACAGCAGACAAAACCCCAGGATCCGGCACACAAGTGCCAGGTCCAGATGAACCAAGCATCGCCGTTCAGGGATGCAGCATACAGAAAGCTTCTTACAACTTTTATTTCTCTACATGCAACTTACAGGGTGTTTTCTGAAAGAGTTTCCGCGACTGCCATGACCTTGTCATTAAACAAATACACACATTACCTGCTGTTATTCAGAAGTGACCCAGCTCAGAGCCCCCAAATACAAACCATGGCAAGACATTACTGCATATAGCTGGGGCATCAGACAACACAAGTGTAAGTTATAAATGAAAAAATTCTAAAACCAATTGGTGAATGAAATTTAAACTCCTTATGTGGTCACATGAGGAAAACAAACAAAACATTATACACACAAAGAACCCTGAGAACCCAAGACGGAAAACCCCAGTAACTGTAAACATCAGAGTTAAATACCAATTCATACCTAACAATTAATAACCATGAGAGTATCCAGAGTGTTTCTCCAGGAGACTTTTGACATCATTATTCTGTGCAACTGACCAGGAGATGGGAAGATGATGATGAAACTGCCCCAGCAACACACTAAGATCACGATATGCTCATTTACATGTTTGTCTAAAAAATCCTACTCCGTGCAGTGCAATACATTGCGACCTATATTGTAATCTTTATCCTTAAACTCAAATCCATACTAAAAAAATCAGCTTCTTACATGTACATGCATGGGGGACCAAGGTGGTTTACTTTATATACAGGAACTAGGCAAGAATACATGCAAACATTTACCTTTTTTATGACTCGCAAACACTCACATGCTCCAGAGACATAATTACACCAACCGACTACAGATTTCGATTTACCTTTGATCACTTTTCCCCATAATTACACACAACCACTGCCAGCAATCTTCCAGACCGGGGCTCTCAAGCATATGGAAGAGGGGTTTGACCCCCCAACACTACAGAGGCAATGAGGGGCTGCCTGCCCCAAACAGCCGTGGTGACCTGACCCCAAACTCCAGCCTGGCTCTGGCACACATCCCCCCTCAGTCACTGCTGGGAGACCGGTACCACACATCCCGTAGAGTCACAGAATGACAGAATGGTTTGGGTTGGAAGGGACCTTAAAGCTCATCCACTTCCCCCCCCTGCCATGGGCAGGGACACCTCCCACCAGCCCAGGTTGCCCAAAGCCTCATCCAGCCTAGCCTTGAACCCCTCCAGGGATGGGGCATCCACAGCTTCTCTGGGCAACCTGGGCCACCGCCTCACCCCCCGCACAGGGAAACATTTCTTCCGTATGTCTAACCTAAATCAGCCTAAAACCATTCCCCCTTCACCTATCAC